TCCTGATCCCTTGTGGTCCCCACCACCTCCCCCATCCTGATCCCTTGTGGTCCCCAACACCTTCCCCATCCTGGTCGCTTGTGGTCCCCACCACCTCCCCCATCCTGATCCCTTGTGGTCCCCAACACCTTCCCCATCCCACCCATCTCCATGACCCATGGATATGGTGGCAGCACCTGAGCCAGCCCTTCCCAAAGAGACATGACACAAGGGAGCTTGCTTCTTCATGACTTTATTGTGCTTGGTGGCCATGGCAGGAGGGGACAGAAGCCCTGTCCTCGTCCCTAGCGCGGTGTCACGCTTAGGACAGGGGGGAGAGCCCAACCATGTTGTTGGCCCTGTCGAAGATGACGTAGTACTGGCGGATGAAGACATCTCCCAGGATCCAGATCTCACCGGACTGGGTGGGGATGTCGATGCCTTCGAAGGCGAGGGTGCAGTAACCGTTGCTCTGCAGCCAAGGACACGGTTGGATGGTGGTTACTCAGCTGTGTGTCACGCTTAGGACAGGGGGGAGAGCCCAACCATGTTGTTGGCCCTGTCGAAGATGACGTAGTACTGGCGGATGAAGACATCTCCCAGGATCCAGATCTCACCGGACTGGGTGGGGATGTCGATGCCTTCGAAGGCGAGGGTGCAGTAACCGTTGCTCTGCAGCCAAGGACACGGTTGGATGGTGGTTACTCAGCTGTTGGATCAACCTCCAAGCCCACCCAGCCCCATCCCTGGTGGGATGCTCACCTGGATCACGTAGGCACTGGGTGGCACGGGGAAGGCTTGGCCATTGATGTAGAAGACAACATCGGGCAGGCTGCTGACGACGCTGCAGCTGATCTGGAGGGGAAGAAATGTTGGCAGGTGGAGGTCAGTGGTCACCTTAAGAGGTTCCATGTGTCCCTGAGGTCTAACTGGACACCCCACAGCGCCTCAAAGGTCCCCAAAGCTCCCCTGGGGTCTCACCTCGCCGTTGGAGTTGGCGCCGAAGGTGCTCTGGATGATGCTGAGGGCGTTGTTGGGGACAGCCAGCAGCGAGGTGCCCGTGTCCACGATGGCCTGGCAGCCGGAGGTGCAGGCAACGGCTTCTCCATTGAGGTTCATGCTGAGGAGAAAGGTGTGGGGTGAACCTCCTGAGGGGCTGCACCCCCAAAAAACACCAG